CCCCAAAACCCCAAAACCCCAAAACCCCTGGGTAGAGGAATATTATTGAGTTTATGGTTTAATGGATTATATGGGATTTTATGAGAGGTAGGAGTTATGTTTTTTGGAAATATTTTAATTGTAATAGTATCACGGTGTTGAAGATGCTTATAAGACAGTCAAGAGCATTGTTACTTTATTAGAAATTACTTCGCAATTCAGCATGTATGAAATAAAAAATAACGTATTTTAAGTTCTTAAAATTTTTGAGGAGTTAGTAATGAAGAAGAACTTCAAATTTTATCATAAGAAGTACTTAATGAAGGAAATTGTTGAGGGCTATTACCATTCAGCTTTAACATAACAATACTTGATGTCTGAAATCAGAAAATAAATATTATTTTAATAGTAAAGAAAGTAGGAGATGTCTAAATAATTTCTTTGGAATATTCACTAGAACTTAGCTGTGCTAAAAGGATGATTTTTCTCTAATCAAAGGCTTCTTTTCACTCTAGACTATATCTTGTCAATAAACCTTTTCTTAGCTTAAATCAATATTTCTTCTAATTTCAGGCATAATTATTCCAATTTTTTAGACAGTTTAAAACGATAACAGTTTTTACAAAGTCAAGATTCTGGAAATTTAAGCATAAAATTTTCCTATTCCATCAATTGCAGCTTCACCTCTCTTTTATTTGAAAATTAAAGATGCTTAAAAGATTTTAAGAGGTTCTTTATGCCTATAACACCTTAATTTCCTAGTGCTAAGGTTATCATAACTTTATTTTATTAAATTGTCAATGAAAAATTTGGAATTGTGAGTAAAACTTCTAAATTTTATGTTTTATGGTTTACTCCTCCTAGTAAATATTAGCAGCAGAATCTCTATCTTGATGAATTTTGTGAAAATAAAGTACAGTTGAAGCTGAATATATTATATGAGTCTTAGATTATGCCCTCCAATTACAACTTTTTTGTACAACAGGATTAGTATAATAGGAATAAAGAAAGCTCTTGGTTGAAGCAGAAACAGGTCTCACTGAAACAAAGCTAGGAGGAGAGATATGGCTCCAAGTCTGCACATAAATGAGACAAAAATTCTCTCTTATGTTTCTAGTTCCCTTTAGCAATCTTGAGAAATCTTTATGCAAACACTCTGAGTAAGTTTTTGAATAATTGTTAAAAAATGGAGGATTCATTAACCTAATAATAAGGCAAAAGATATCAGGTTTGTGTGCCTATCTATTTTTCATGATTTTGCAACCTCTTACTTTGAGAAGACGTTATAAAACTAGAAAAATAAGTCTGGAATTTTAGGAAAATTCATTCACAATCTTGCGGGGATTTCCAAGTTATTGCCCTAAAAAGTAGGTTTGAGGTTTACAAATTCAGGTAATATTGTACACATGAAAGCTACTTTAAAAATTTACTATTATCTAAATTCTGAAATATTGAACAATTCACAAAAATATCTGCAGTATTTGCCAAGTTTATTATCTTACAGAATCGAAGGGGAGGTAGGAGCATTTTGCATCAAAATCTGGGCTTTATATACCTATTACAGGCTTACTAAATTCATGAGCTAACAAAAAAATATCAATAAGAATACAGCCTGGGTTGGATTAATACTAAACAGACTGATTATTTGACTCTTTAATATAAGCCTTTTTCGGGTTTCACTAGATCTTTACTTAGGTATGCTAATAGTTACTAAGGTTCATTAGATGTGCGATTGGCAAAGTTTATGAGAACTCATAAAACAATTACAATAAACAAACAATTAAAAACAAGCCTAGGTGTTCTGAGTTTAACTCTGGTAGCACCATTGAGCCTTAAGCAAAATTTTCAGACAAGGAATTTATGTCAATTAGTTAATAGGAATTATTATGTAATTAATTGGCAGCACTTGGAGCTTGACAGTCCGTGACACTGACACCCTTAGCATAAATCTTCCAGTCAGCAATACTTTTATCTCCAGGGGAAACCTGGACTTCAGGAGAGGGATGTGAGTCTTTTCTTATTTTAATAGCCTTACGTAATAAAGCCTTAATATCTCTTTGAAGGCAAGATTCAGAAAATGAAGAGTCTGAACAATTATTGGAACTGGCTTTTGTAAATGTTTCACAATATTTCTTCTCTTGTGCAACTGACATTTTTGAAATTGGAGATGGATTGTATTTGCTTGAAGTGAGAGATTTATATTTCGCCTCTTTAGTTACTCTCATTTTACTTGAAAACAAGGGTTTGGACATATTAGCATCAATATTGTTTGGCATATTCACACTTAAAATGCAAGCCTTCTCATCCAAGAGCTCTTCAGACAAGTTTTCTTCCTCATAACTATATTTATCCATATTTTTAATATATTATCTAATTCAAATACTCTCACCTTATATGGGGTTTTGGGGTTTTGGGGTTTTGGGGTTTTGGGGTTTTGGGG